ACACACACACACACACACACACACACTCAGGCTGGGAAAATAGCGTGGCTGTGGGCCAAAGCGCTCGGGGACGCGTTGGCGTCCTTGGAACGAGATGAAAGCAGGCAGCCCAGCCGCAGTGCGTCCAACAACGCAGGACTCTGGCCGAGGCAATGCCCAAGGCTGCCACCACCGCAACCCAGCAACGGCACAGCACAGCGGCTCAGCACCACGACGGATTGTCTTTGCCAGGGTGGTCCAGCCCGAGGCAGCCGAGAAATTGCAGTTGGAGGACAGCACTAAGGCGACTGCGGTCTGGCGCCTATGAGGATTCGAGACCTCGAGCACCAAAAACGGCAGCAGAACGGCAGTGTCAACTCGACAGCACGCGGTTACAAATGCGGTTGGAGAGCAGCACAGCACCCGCTCAGTGTGTCGCAGAATTCCTTGGCCCGAGGCGGCGACATGAGGAGCGTGGGCTCGCAACGCTGTTTTTTGTCGCCACGGATTTTTCTTTTCGGATAGGGCTGAGCAAGGGCAGAAAACGGGCGAGGAATGCGCTAGGTCCACACGGCGCGCGCGTGCGACAGCCTCGACTCAAGGCAGCTGACCGCACTAAAGGGCTCCCCTTTTCTGGGCAGGAGACCCACACCGGGCCTGCTGCCTGTCTTGAACCTCACTTCGCTCTAGAGCAGCCGCTCGACCGTCGAAAAACAGCGGGATGGGAGCCAAAGAGGCGAGAGTGAGCCACCTGACTAGGTTGCGCATACCGAAAGACACGCTCCATCACTCGAGCTCGGCTTGTTCACTGACTCTCGGTCGCGAGTGAACAGCAGTAGACGAGACGAGACGAGACGATAAGGTCGAAGTGCCACTTCCTGGCTGGCTGCTTCTACGAACAGCGCTTCAAGAGGCGGCAGCAGACCAGTCTAGCTGCCCCGAGGCTTTCAGAACTCAGCCGTTCAGACTGGGCTTGGTGGGGCTTGTCGAAAATTCCCACAGGAAGGCGGCACGAGAGCGCCTTTGCGCGGGAACAAGCGAGGCCAACAAGGGGAAACTGGCTGTCGTCTGCCTCGCTATTTTACGAACAAAATTGGCTGCTGAACCGCCTTGACAGATAAAGCGACGTCGTCTGTAAAAATTCAGGGCTGCTGCTCAGCTGTGGGGAGGGAAAATTAGGAGCTCGATCATGACACGCAGGATCAACCCGAAGAAAATCAAAAATCACGGGCCGCCGAATGTTGGAGATCAGAAGCGTCTCGCTTCCGATAGTCTCGATCTCACAACACGACAAATGATCGCAATCGGGATTATCATGATTGCATCAACGCCGATACTGCAGCGCGCCTCGGGAGCCGGAGACGGACGACCCTGCATGACCGTTGAACCCTGTCAAGGCTTTGGTGGGTGTGGCTTGCGTCCGACCCTCTCACCACTAGGAGAATGGCGATGCGTTGCCATGAGACGAGATCATGGCAGCAGGCTCCAGGAAACGTAGGAGGGCCAATGGACGGCTCGCGTCGCCGCCGTTGGGTCCTTCGCCTCTCCTGACACGCAACCTGCAGTTGCTGCCGGTCGGCCTCACTCGTCTTCCGAGCGACGTGCACTTTGTCTCACAGCTTCGCAACGACATTGGCGAGCTCCTGTCCGCGTTTGCAGAAGCTCTTCTTCTCTTCGTCGTCCAGTCCGACGGATCTACGGGTAGCCGCCAAGATAATGGAGGCCAAGGGGACCGGCCGGTAGCATCCGCATTCTCGATCTTTGCCTCTCTGTGGCGCCGCAAAGGATGGCACTATGCTCAATTTGCGTTCGGAGATCATACGGATAGCAAGCAGGCATTTGGCGAGGCAATTTGCCGCGCGCTGCTCGAACATCTGTCTCCCCATGTCGATCGCCGAAATGGCTTCATGGCCCAAGCTCAAAATGGCGAGGAAGCCGTCACCTTTACCGACCTCAGGCAGCTGTTCGAGGCGTACGGAGTCCCGTTGGCGCTGTATGTATTCTGGTCGACACAGATGTACTGTGATTCGGGCACCGGTGTCAAGCACTGCCGCCCAGCCATGGAGCGGATTGCCATCGAACAGGACTACTACGACTGGCTGCTCGAGCTACCTCAAGCCGTTCTGAAGCATCTTGAAGCCGAGCCCAGGACGCAACGCGATGCTCACATCATCACGGCCGACCTCGTCGAGGTCCTTTGCCGGCTGACTGGCTCAACGCCCGACGACGACCCAGGCGACGGCGCGGCAGCTGCAGGAAGTGACGGCGCTCGTGGTCAAGGCGCTAAAACGCGACGTACTGCCCGCAAAACTTCGGATGAACCAAAGCGTCGGCGACCGGAGGCAAGGAAGGCCGAATCGCGCAGCGTATACGATCGCGCGGACACCGTCTTCGACATCGTTTCAGCATCTCGATTCTACACGCGCATGCCGCGAACCTGGCCGTCGGTTCGCGTCGTGTCGACACTCGAGGCCAACAAGGAATTTGGACGACTCGGACAGATTGTCAGGATTCAACCGACGAGCACCCGCGACGCTGGCAGCCCTGATCAGGTGCCGACTGAATCTTCTCGCAGTGGAGTTACCGACGCAGAGCGCCAAGACGTCTCGGAAGAAGCTAGAAAAGTTGTAGCCGGACTGTCACGCGGGGATGTGGTTCGTCTCAAAGCGCGACAGCGCCTTGCACTTGCGTCGCTCGACCTTTCGAAGCTGGCGGAGCAGACGCACTCTGGCGAGAGCAGCTCCAATACGGCCATGCGGCAGATCGACGCGTCGGAACTTCTCGCCGAAACGGCAGAAGGCAGTGGAGACAGTCCGTCCAGACAACGGGCGAGGTACGAGATCCAAACGCCCGCATGGATCAGCAGCGCCAAATACACGGCCAAGATGAAGCCGTGGCTGGAGCAGGCATCGACGCCGATGCAGCAGTCGCTGGAACGTGTGGCGAGCAGCAGCCAGAAATACGCAGAGGCACGCAGCAGGATCATGCCTTCGTCTCAAACACACAACGCCGATCGCGCGGGCGAGGCCGAGCAAGCGTCAGTAGATCAGGATCAGCCGGCTGTCCAAACTGACTTTGGCCAGTACGTGCTGCAGAGCTTCCGAGCAGAACGACAGGGCCGTGGCAGCGCAACAGCAGCGAACGAGGCATCGCAAGATGCTACGGGGGGAGCCGAGAGCAGTGCATCGACAGCAGGCGTTACTGTGGATGATACCGGCAGTCTAAGTCTCGAGTCACTCTACCGACTGGCGGCGGAACGCACCAAGACCGAGGCAGTGGCCAGAGGCGAGACGCTCAAGTCTTTGCGCGCGCGCACTAACCGCCATCCCTAGGAACCTCCGTCGACCGTGCGGAATCCCAACACTTGCAACAGATGGGTTTGTATGGCCAAGTGGCAGTGGATTGAATGTAAGACCGAGTGATGACTACTCTTGCGGGTCGTTGTCTGCGGGCTGTGGCGGTTCTGGCCACCACTTAGGGATGTGCGGCTTGACGAGGAGAGTCGTTTCGCCGTCAGCCGAAAGCACCGACATTTCCAGCCCATCTTCCGACGTCGGATTGGATGCATCGGTCCATCGCTGGACCTGCTCCAGCCTAAGGCAAGCGAGTCCAAGATTGTAGATACCCGATGTGAACTTGCCTGCTGCCTTTCCCCTTGCCGGCTTTGCCGTTGCCGATGCGGTTGATACCGGCTTCGAACGAACTTCGGCGAGGTGGGAGGGCAGCTGGAATGTTGCTGCGCGGTCAATATGGAGTGTGTCCGGAGCAGGCGTGCCGGGGAGGTAGAATTGAAGCGGCACGATGCGTTTGCGGACGACACCGGTGTGCTGGGTACGTGCGGTGAGTTCCTGCCCCACATAGCAGCCTTTGCGGAAGTCGACGCCGTGCATGTAGTCCAGGTTGTTCTCCAGCGGCAAACTCGCCGCTTCGGGAACATCCAGCGCACCCTCTGCGACGCCTCGCAGCATACGATGGATCGTATATTCCTCGTCCTCCACCGACGCAATCTGTTCGCGCAGCTTCGTGACGGCCTCGTGCGAAACTACACCGCGGTAGCCTATCGCGGGACACCTCGGATCCAGACTCAGCTGTTCCGTCAATGTCGAGCTCGGCGGACTCGCTGCTGAAGACCATGCCTGCACGACGCTGTATTCGTCCGAGACGTCGGCGAGCTTGACCTTGGAGCGTAGCTTGAACTTTTTGATGAATGCGAGCAGCGACGGGAGCGTGCGCGAGTCGATGTCGAGCAGCCAGCGCGGCGAACCGTCCTGCAAGGGAGCCTGGCGGTGGATGAAGACATCTGCCAACATCCTTCCCTGTGGGTTCATGAAGCCGGCGTATACGAGTGCTGGTGCATGCGGCTCTGTCGCAGATGCGAGTGCCTTCACATCGTTGCTCACCAGACCCTGCAGCAGCTTCACCGTGTCGCGCCCGCTGACCTCGACGGCGCCACGGTTAGGCACCCTGGCAAGCTTCCATTTGGCGCCGTCCGCCGAAGTCTGCGAACAGACAAGAGCAGACGATGTCAAGGTGCGGGTCCGGGAGAGCCCCGCTGAAGGCGAGTTGCGAGCAGTGGCAAGATGCAAGCTGGTAGAAGGCGATCCACAGCGGGCTGAGCTGGACAGCCGCCGAGATGCAATGATGCGGGGCAGCTGCAAGAGCGTAGCGCTACTTTGCGCCAAGGCTCTTGCATTGCAAGATGGTAATGTCGGTCTCATGGCGCTTGGCAGATGTGGTGGTGATGATGATGATGGAGATGCGGGAGCGGAAGAGGCGAGGTTGCGGTTGGCCTTCGGAAGTCTGATTCAGCCAAACCTCCACACCGGAACTCGGATCTTGGTTTTTTCGGACTGAATGTGGATCCGTGTGGCATAACACTTTGTCTCAGCGCTCTTCGAAGTGAGGCCTTACGACTGCTGCTCATCGTAGTGTCGAAGGGTAGTTTAATTCGAGATCGGATGTGCCGGGCAGCGTGACAATGCAGTCGACAGAAAGTTTGCTCGAGAGATCGCCGGGAGGCCATGCAGAGAGCAAGGGGCTAGCGGCAAGGGTCCTCCGCCGTTCCACGGATCCTCGTCGGCCGCAAGCCGAAGATGAGCTTTTCTGGGACATCCGGCGGATCTGCTCAAGTCACAGAGATCGTGTCTTGAAGAAGCTGTGTCTGCCTCCGCCGCAGGTACGTCAGTGGAGACAGGAAGGCGGCTGAGCAATGGCGAGCAGGCATGAACCCGCCATGCAGGCGAGACGCAAGGGGCTAGGGACTTTTTCCTAAAGTTACCTTTCGGAAACGCCGATGCGCTGGGTCGTCTTGCCGCGGATGCCGTGAGTTCGGAAGAAGGATGCTGCTACAGTATTATAAGGCACTGGTCTGGTTGTAGGCGCTTCCGACCCTATCTTGGGCGGCTGTCTATGCGTAGAGATGCGAACCGCATGCGTCGCATCTTGCTATCAAAGCAGCTTCCGGCCCTCAATTCTTAGTCAAATGTAGAGAGTCGACGGGCGCGGGACAAGATTTGGGCTGAATTTCAAACGGCGATTGGCACATGGTGAGGCCTTTGTTGCGCGAGGTCTACACTGGCCTAAGGCGGAAGGCCAAAGCTCGCGTGTAGGGCGGACAGCCTGGATCGACGAGGTGCACCCTTGCGGGAAAAGGGGGCAGGCCATCCGCCTCGAAGCGAGTCGGCCGTGGCGGGATGGCCCTGAAGATCCGTCCGGCTCTCGATGCAGCTGAGCTGCACGTCGCTTAGCGCTGCAGGACGGTTGCTTTGGATGTGCATCTCCCCTGCACACACACGCTGGGGATTCTAGCTTTGGAGCGATGCCCTTTTTGCCTGCCCTGTGGCGCCAGGGCGGTTTCAGGCTGTTTGGCGCAGCGCACTTTCCAGCAGCTGCCGGTTCCAAAGAATTCAACGTGGCGGAGGCGTGCTTTGAGAGCACAGGTGTGAGTCCCTGGCTCTGATTTTACGGTCTCGATTTGTTCGTCCTCCTTCACATCGGTCGTTCGAGCGCGCCATGCTCAAGATCCCATTGATCCTGATTCTGAGGCTGAGGTTGAGGCTGATGTTGATGGTGGCTCGTCTCTTTGCCTGGCCGGCGCGCGTGAGTTTGCACTGACCAACCGTCGTCGCGTCCGGAAAGCAAATATGGAGCGAGCGGAATTGCAATCCATCTGCGCTCCGCAGCTGACAGGAGCACACGGCAGCGGGGCCCAGACTGCGGGACCCTCTGGTCTGATCGAGATCTGTGCTCAGAGGCGTGCTAAGCGAGTGTGCGCCGTCTGCGTCCAAGTCCAGACGCCGTGGTCGGTGTTTCGACGATTGTCTCTGCTTGCATCACACCACCCTGTGCCTCTCGGCTGGACCCACACGCGCCACGAACACACCACACACACACTCAGCTCACTCCTGCCGGCTTCTGGGATTTTTTTTTTTT